CGGCACAGGCGGGCTGGAGGGGTTGGGGCCCGGCACAGGCGGGCTGGGCAGAGCCCACGGGGGCCAGAGGGTGGCCTGGGAACGAGGGCTGCTCCTCCTGGTTGTTTTCCATCTCCAGCAGGCTTCGCCGAAAGCCACCTGAAAGCGAAGGAAATGGGTACCTGAGCAGGAGGAGGGAGGGAAGAGGAAAGGTACAGGAGGATGCGAGGGTCTTATTCCCGACGCCACCAGCGGTTACCCCCACCTCAGTCCCTCAGAATCAGCGACTTGCGCTCCTGTGAGAGGCCACCGCGACGGCGCGTTCCTCGACGGTTGCTCCCCTGCTCCACTTCCTGCCGTGCCCTGAGGGGCTACGAGCCTGCAGCGCTCGCCCTGCGCCCTGCCCCCTGCGCAATGGCGCCCCCCTGCGGCTGCTCGGAGCCCCGCTTCCGCCCGCAGGCAGAGGTGGGCTCCGTGGCCCTTCCTGGTTACCCAGGCGCTGTGCTACTCCCGCCCTCGGCCCCGGAGGGACCCATTGAGCGTCGCACCCTCTGCTGGTGGTTCCGGAAATCGCCTCGGTTTGGGCGTGCAATACCGCGCGGTAGGAGTGCACGCGCCTCGGGAGGTCCAGGGCCTAAACTCTAGACTGTCCTTCCCAAGCCCAGCGCGAGAGTGTGGCCTGACCACCATCGGCTTTTCTCACTCTGCGGACATCCTCAAAGCCCCGCAGGACACTGCCGACGTCGGGATCGCTGTGCTCCATCTTGCTGGAGACCGTCCCTGATCCTCCTCTTCGGTTCCAGGGACAAGTCTCCCGATTTCCCTGCTAGCTCGACACGCCCCCCTCCTTCCTTTCTTAAAATTAGTAATAAAAAAAGTCACCCCTTAGCATGACCCGGTGGTGACCTCTAGGAAACGTTGCTGATTCTTGCTCCTCCAGCACTCACGTAGCTTCCCTGACCCTTGTCCTTTGTCCTTCCACGCATCTGTGCGTTTCTTCATGTCAGTTCCCCAGTAAACTCGGTTGAAATGAGTTCGGGCTGCATTTTCATGATTCTGGGCATGGATTACGAGGGAACTGGCAAAATCAATCAATCAATCAATAGGGAACTGGCTGTCCACAGAAAACACAGCCATCCTAGTCTTCACCTCGGCACGTCTCTCCTTTCATGTGGAACTCTCATTTGCTTCTGTCTTTCATTTTTGTTTTCAGTTTTCTCCTTTGTACATTCCTGTCTGGTACAGCTTGTGTCCTTTTCATCCCACAACTTTCTAGAGCATTGCAACTCTTGTGCCTGATACCTGCTTAACAGAAAATAATCACCTGCATCTGATTTACAGAATTGCACTTGACACTTTCATTTTCAAAATAATAATTAAAAAATCTTCTTCTTGGTTCTGTGTGAATGTCCAGGTGAAGGGTGTGAACAGTACTGCACATCCGTTAGACATCAGCATGTCCTCTACCTGCTGCTCTGATCAGGGATATCTGCCTGGCTTTAAGTAGGAACAGACCCCTGCTACTGCAGGGCCAAGGGCCCAGATGTGGCTCTGGGTAGCAGCTCAGGCCAGGACCCCACCAGGGTCCCAGCGGGCATCACTGGCTGCTCAATACCCTCAAGTCTCCAGTTCTGCCTCTCTTTGTTATGCCTACATCCATATGTCTCTCTTTCTCTTCCATTTCTCCACCACTTACTTGCTCCTCCCAGGGTCTCTGAGTGTCTGGGGTCATCTCAGGAGTAGTCCTTAGGAGTGCTATGCCCCGCTTGTGCAATAAGGCACAGGGCAGGAGTTATCTCCGGCATTCTCTTCCCACCCCCAGACCTGTGCCGTGCCGAATGGTGGTCGTCCAGGTTAGCTTCTTGTCCAGGCCCCGTGGCACCAGTCTGGTGGTCATCTCGTTGTTTCTCGTAGCCCAACCCATCCCTAGTAACCTCGTGTGAGGGTCCTCTGTCTAGGGCTCACTCCTGCCTGGGACACTCAGTCTCAGGTGGCATTCTTCTGGTCTGTCTTGCTCCTAGTTCTGGGAGCCATCGGGACCTGCACAGTGCAGTGGTGGTCATCTTAGGTTGGCTCCACTTGAGACCCCTGCTGAAGGACTGCTGGTCATCTCAGACTAGCTTTTTCTCTGGGAATGTTAGGCTACTAAGTATTCAGATAGTCACAGGTCAGAACAGTGCCACCTACTGACACACAGGTGACACAGCAGCCACACCTGCAAGGCTTCTAGGCCAGGGCGCTTGACTCAAACTGATGCAATGTTCCCAAAGTCAGCCTCCAGACTAAATGTCATTATGTTAGAAGATACACAGCTACATTCTGGGACTTTTCTCTGAGTCTGAGTTCATTGAAAAACTGTTTACATGTTGCTGTTCTTGTTGTTGTCGCTGGTTCGGCTTACCAGAAGGCAGTCTAATAAGGATGGGGGTTGGAGGTTTTGCTTAAGTTGTTGCTGCTTTTAGTAAAATGTCACCAACCTTTTTTGATGAAAATGCTTGCTTCTTGATTTCCCCTTCTGTGCTTCCTTTAGCCTTTCCTTCATCCCTTCATCCTCTCAGTCTCCCTACCTCCTTCCCTGTCGGTATGCTTCTCTTCCTTGCTTTCAGCTCTCATTCTTTCATTCCTTTCCTGTTTGTTCATCCTTTGCCCACTTCTATTAAAAGATTAATAAACATCCCTTCTGGAGATTTCAAATGTCTATTTCAAAAGTCACAAATATACTGTGTCTGCATGAAAGAATTTGTGGCTCTAGTCACTCTTTTGTGGACAGAAAGCATGGCATTTATAGATTCTTCCACACATTGCTAGCTAAGCTTACTTTTAAAAAAAAAGTGTATACCACAGAGGGATAGTGTATTCTTTGGCATATTCTAAAATTAAGCATGCAATGTGGCTTACATTCTAGAGCAAAGCAGCTGCATTTGTTAACAGCGGAGACCTCTGCCTCAAGTCCCCCTTTATTTCCAGAATTCTAATAGGAACCGAGCTTTGTTTTTAAAACTCTACCTTAATTGTGGAGAGATTATTTTCTATATACCAGGAGCTTTTGTCTGCTCAACACTTGCCTAGCTGTTTCCTGTCTTTCCGTCCTGGGAGGCACTGACATGATACTTCTTTTCTTCAAAAAAATTTATCGTATTATGAATGTCTTTCTTTTTATCATAGAAACTGTGGAGGACCAGGCATCAGCTTCCTATTCTTTATCCATTTTTGATTACCCATTGTAGTTTTTTTTATTTGTTTGAATTTTATTAAAAATAGATTTTTGCCTCATACAATATGTCTTGTATATTATATAGTACATAATATATAGTGCAATTGTGTAAAATATTATCAAAGTATATAACATACAATATATATTCCTTTCTCACTACTCCTCCAATTTACAGACCTTTAATGAGCTATCATTAATTTCATACGCAAGTATGTGGTAAATTTTAGAGAAAGTTCCATGAAGTGCTGAGAAGAAGGTATATTTTTTTGTGTTTGGGTGAAATGTTCTGTAGATATCTGGTAGGTCCATTTGTTTCATAATGTCTGTTAGTTCTATTATTTCTCTGTTTAGTTTTTGTCTGGATAACCCATCCATTGGTGAGAGTGGGGTATTGAAGTCTCCCACCAGTAATCTGTGAGGTGCACTGTGTGATTTAAGCCTTAGTAATGTTTCTTTTACAAATGTGGGTGCTCTTGAATTTTGGGTGTAGATGTTAATAGTTGAAAGGTTGACTTGTTGAAATTTTTGTTTGATGTGTATGAGGTGTCCATCTCTGTTTCTTTTGATTAATTTTGGTTTGAAGTCTATTTTCATAGATATTAGGATGGCAACCCAGCTTACTTCT